CAGCGTTGTTATTCAGTCAGACGACAACAACATGGAGCGCTTCAGATTTTCTTATTCACTTCATATTTGCCGAGTAGATTGCAAAGTCATGTAACAATGCCGTTAGAACAGTATAATACAAAGAAAAGTTATATATTGTGCTCCCCCCCCACGAAAATGTAAGGCCCCCAGTGCCCCCCTGCTGAAAAAATCCTAGCTACGCCACTGACTATGAGAGCATAGTGCCCCCAACAACAGGCATTATAAAATATTAATATATAAATAGCATGGTGCTTCACTTCAAATGTTAGACTCATGATGACGTAACCAATCATGATATTTCTAGCAATAGGTCGCTGATCGATTTGTCTTCGTTTAACCAAATACAATAATTAATGCATTGCAGATTCACTTCACGTGTTCCGCAGATATATTGTAAACAGTTGGAATTCTATAGGCAATAGCTTGCGTTCACCGCACGTGCTTTCGTCCGCGAAGGAGATACAACAAATGTTGTTTTCTCAACAGTTTTGTGGGTATATATGTTCGCGACCGTTCTTAACTGTAATATGTACATTTTAAGTGTGAGAAAAGACATGAATAATATTCGAATGTTTATTGCCAGTTTGTTTAATCCTTTATTGATTTATATAGCATTTACATCTTGGCAAAGCAAATAAGAAATATAATTGAAATTCGTCAAAAATAAACTAATAAACAACATAATTTTTTTCCAAATGTAACCATACAAACTGCATTGCCTACGAATATTCAACGATGATCGGAAAGCGATGGTACGCATGCGCATACATAACTAAAATACAAAATAAAATACACCTGAGAACTAATACATCCGAAAAATCATAACGACAAAATACCCGTATGCTCCCATAATACTCCACGTACTTACACAAGTGTAGTTTCGCATAATATAACGAATACATAACTTGATCTCCATACACCTATGATCACACCCCCTTCATCACACCTATATAATTATAAATATCCAATGCGCGTTATGTAACAGACGCATAGTTTCTCGCGCTTGTTAATATAAGCAACGACTGCTCTTCTCTACGTAGATTTGACACGGACGACGAGTCCGGCGTTAGTTGCCCTCTGATTCGTCGCAACGTATGCTTTCGCAGCAATCCGGATATGGAACGCCAGGGGTTCCGTTCACAATCCTGCAGCCTAATACATCTCGTCGGACCATTAGGCCGGGACATCTGTAAAAACCCGACATAAGTAATCACGTTCCCACACAGATCGCAGATAATTTTTTTTTTTTCGTGACGGGCTTGCTGCGAAAATAAATGTAGTTTTCAAGTCACGAGACCAGCTGTCGCACCGATTGGGCCATTTCTTGGAGAAGGTTACGCTACGAGCCCATTTTTTACAGAATTTAGCTCTTTGTTTGACACTGAATGCTTGTCACATGCTTGCATTATATCGCCGAAAAGCCATGGTATCGGTCAAAATACAGAATGATTTTAGCGTTTGTACATATCAATGAATAACCTGCGGATGACATCATGAACGCTATTCGCATGGATAGGCCATGACACATACCCTATATACATACGTAGCCGTCTTTATTCAAGGCATTCGCATTCGGCACACCTCGGAGCGGCGATGCCATGAATTGGTCTCCGATCTTTAGCTCAGTCTTACCTGTCACACGGCTGCCATGCATGCCAGCAGCGAGCGGACAAAGACATTCCGATAGGGAAATAAATACCGCTAATTCACATCAAGGGGTATAATTCACACCGACCATTTGCATGAGTGATGGCCTGCGTCAGGCGCACATTTCATAAAAACAGTATACTAGAATAATGCTTAAACTACAATACAAAATTAGAAAAACATTGCAGAATATTAGAGACTTTATTTTGCAAGCGTACTATTGAACAATGAAGGCCTAAGTAGAGCATTTATGCTAAAAAATTGTGATAAAAGTTAGCCGTGATAATTTAGCATTATAATATCAGAAAAACAAATTACTATATATATATATAGATATATATAGATATAGATATATAGCTATGTGTGTTGTGTGGGTGTGTGTGTGTGCTGTGTGTGTGTGCTGTGTGTGATGTGTGTGCTGTGTGTGTGTGTGTGTGTGTGTGTGCTGTGTGTGTGTGTGTGTGTGTGTGTGTGTGGTGCTGTGTGTGTGTAGTGGGTGTGTTGTGTACGTTAAATCAAATAATATAAATAGCATAATAATAATAAAAAATAATATTACTAATTGAAATATAATTTATATGTATCTTAAGTTATATTTACATATTTCAATTTTATAAATATATAATATCTGCGTTCGTTACTACAACGCCTCGACACACCACTAGCCCATTAAGCAAACACCCCCACACACAATCAACAAACAAAGCCCTACGGTTACTAGGCAGAAGCGTCATCGTAGTTGCATGTTCCTGTTAGTGGACTGCTTCCGTCATGAAAAACTTGCAGCAGCAACTATACAGCATAACTTGTAGAATGTGAGAGAGACAGAGAGGGAGTTCACTGCGGCTTCGATTGCGCTTACACAGATTACATTGACTTGTCACAATTGCTGCCGCAAGCAATATTATACCGTGTACCTTTTAAAGTAATCTTCCATATAAACTGTTCCCCTAATATGCAGTAGACCACGTGATGCTTAATTACCACCATTTTTCGACGCCATACAAAGTGGTCCTGCAATAAGTAAGCACCATACTCCCGTATAGCGTTCTACATTAGTTACCGGCATGCTTGGTACATTTATTACTAAGATGTCGGAGAAAAACTGAGAGGGAATAAACGCTAGTACGTTTCCGTAGCATTCGCTATCGACGCATGACACCAGGCGTTATTACACTAAATAATTAGTTAATATAATATTTTATTCATTCATTGAATTTATCTTATATCTTCTGTATGGCATGCACTGAAAATGTATTCTTGCATCCGGGACAGAGTGCTCCCGAAAATATTAACATTCATTTCATAATAAATTCAGATGTCACGATACGCCGAACGTATATACACACATATAAAGATATTATCTGACTTTCACGCCCAAAGGACATCAGCATGGTTCCGCCAGAATCCGGAACCATAACGCAAAGCCAGACTGCCTTTATGAATATCGGCAGATTACTTTATGCAAAATACATTCAAAACTAATTAAACTCGCGTGCTGCCATTGCAACCAACATGACAACAATGTAAGGCGACTGACCCTTTCGAATTCAAATTAACTTGTGTCGTACATAACCGTACAACAAACACACAACCACACACACACACACCACACACACACACACACACACAACACAACACACACACACACACACACAACACACACACAACACACACACACACACACACACACACGCACCACCCACACACAGCACCACACACACACACACACAATATATATATATATAAGTATATATTATATATATATTATATATATACTATACTATTATAATATATACGTACGTTACACCAGGCTGTGTGACACACGTATGCGACAAATATAATATCAGTTGCGTAGTTCTCAGCATTATATGAGACGTCCGCATCTGGATTTCTCTGCACGATAACTGAAGATTAATCTTATGCATGCTAAAATATAAGAACAAATACTACTGAGTATGTGCGGCTACCGCAAACGTGTTACCACTAGAGAGAGCATAGAGAGGAGATTGTGTGAACACGCCGCGCGATTCTGGGAACTGGTGCGCGTGACATCGACGGTGCATGTTGCCTGTGATTAGCTGTACCTCTGCACACTGAAAGCGTTTACCGAAAGCGTAAACGGTGGGGCAGTAAAGAACGGGCGCAAGACAACGCAGGGCTACGAGAGAGATGCTCTATAGAAACTAAACAACGCACGACAATGCTAGACGAGTTCGATTCGTTAAATTGTGAATACGCTCAGGAAAAAGGTTTTCTTTGCGACCGCAGTGAAGAGATGTAACCGGCGTCAACCTCACGAGTAGGAAGGGCGGCGGCGATCGTTGGACTGTGCTAGCAGCGATGGAGGCCGTTCCCAGCCCTAGCCATTAGCTGCAGAAGCTACGGCGCTACACGTGACCGCGAGCGATGACAGAGCGTAGCCGATGACAGCTAAGATGGCTAGCGCAACGCAAGCCCCGCCCACATAAAGCCCTCCAAAATTAGTCATAGACCCCCATAGGCCAGCTGCCAAAAAACAGTAGAACCCCCCATAAAATGCAGGCTACAACACAGCTAGACCCCATTAAAGCCAGCTTCAAACAGTTAGCACCCCTTCCCCATAAAGCCTTTCAAAACAGGTAGCATCCACCCATAAGAGATTCTTCAAACAGTAGACCCCCATAAAGCATCTTCAAACAGTAGACCCCATAAATCAGTCCAAACAGTAGACCCCCCTCACATAAAGCAGCTTACCTAAACAAGTAGACCCCCTAAAGCAGCTTCAAACAGTTAGACCCTCCCCATAAAGCATCTACAAAGAGTAGACCCCCCCCCATAAAGCATCTGATAAACTAGTAGGACCCCCATAAAGCATCTTCAACAGTAGACCACACATAAATCAGCTTCAAACAGTATAGACGCCCCCTCCCTATTAAAGCAGCTCAAACAGTAGCACCCCCCATAAAGCAGGCTCCAACAGTAGACCCCCATAAAGCAGCTCAAAAAGCAGACCCCCCCCCAATAAAGCGAGCCTCCAAACAGTAGACCCCCCATTAAAGCAGCTCCAAACAGTAAGACCCCCATAAAGCATCTATAACAGTAGAAACCCCCCCCCCATAAAACTGATACAAACACAGTATAGACCCCCCACTAAAGCAGCTTCCATAACAGCTAGACCTCCCATAAAGCAGCTCCAAACAGTAGACCCCCCATAAATCAGCTCCAAACAGTAGACCCCCCATAAATCAGCTCCAAACAGTAGACCCCTTTCCCCCATAAAGCAGCTCTAAACAGTAGACTCCTCCCCTCTAAAGCAGCTCCGATCAGTAGACCCCCCTCCCATAAAGCAGCTCCAAACAGTAGACCCCCCAGCATCAAGCGGCACTCCTAACGTAACCAATCGGCGTTTGGATAGGTGAAATAACGAGTTGGTTTGCACATGTGTGCAGACTCAGTATACATATATAGGGATATAACAGGCACTGCGGGATTTGCCGTTATTATCAATAACTAGACGTCAAAAACTAGACGTCTTGCTCTATTCGCTAGAGCGTTTAGTTCTTACCGCGCACAGTCACTTGGCGGCCTAAAATGCATTCGCGAAATTTACTTTTAAGTGTGAAAACACGCTGGATATTGGCCGTTTTGCATGTAATTCGCGGGAAACGTTTTTACCAAAAAACTGTGGATAAATATTTGAGTAAATCAAATACCTTGCAAATGCGGCGGGAGACATTGCAATTTCTAACTGTTGCTCCAGCTAATTTATGGAAATACTCTATAGATTAATGGTCGCCAATACCAAATTTCTAGCTGTAATACCTGCATGCTTGTCTCGCATTTTCATACCTTATATAGATATTCACGCGTAATAGTAGAGGCGTGAGAATTGTACGGGAACAGTTGCCAATTTCATTCATTTCTTTCTCATGTTATCAAGAGTGTATAATATAGATCTAATATAGATCTAATATAGATGTATATCATACCCTCCTGATGTTATCACATTGGGATTTCCATAATCGTGTTCGAGTTTAGTGCTGCATTATAACGTAGTCATGCGCGATGACTGCATATTTTCGTTGCTGTAAATTGGAAGAAGTCATATCTTTCATCGGGAACCCAAAGAAGCGGGGAGACAGGATCATAGGATGCGTGGACATATTAGAGACCTGCATCGTGAGGGCAGATGAGGGGTAATGCGACATCAACGTGGCTTATATGAGGAGAATGTGCCAAAGAAGCTGCAACAGCTGCTCCGACAAAGATAGAAATGATGAGCATGTTCAAATTACATTTTGCATTATACTATACATTCGTGTAAACCTAGACACGTTGCTCTATCTCGCATTATTATACCCTCTCTGTTCGAATATAGTGTTTCGTGTGACATTTCTAACAGATATTTAAATATTTAGCAAGGTTAAAGCTATTGTAAATTGTAAATTAATAGTGTTTGTTGTTGAAGGCTTGCCTGCATGCAATCATTATGCTAATGTAATGCGTGTGTGGGTTTGTCTGTGCGAACGTGGGTGCTTGTGTGCTTGAGTCTACATGACTACACAGACGCACCCCCTTGACACACACACANGCGCGCGCGCGTGCAGGGCGTGCGTTTGTGTTCACATTTTAACATGTTTACTACTGTAGCAGGTCAATGCGGCCCCTACCGCTGCCAGAACGGAGCATGCGAAGTGACGGGCGATAACTACAGGTGTCGTTGTGAATCGGGCTTCTTTGGGAACGACTGTTCGCAGAGAGACTGTAAGCCGCCGTGCGCGCACGGCATCTGCGTGCCGACGACCGGTGCGCCGTCGTGCACATGCGCGAAAGGCTACGCTGGAACGAGCTGCGAGTTCACAATTGTTACAAAAGCGTCGACAACGACTAGTGTTACGTCGGCGACGACGCCCGCGAGTCAAACGCTAGAAGAGACAACGCTATCGAGTACAAAACAATCAGCTCCGCAGAGCACAAATACCGCAACCTTAGAGGCGACGAAATCGTCAATTTCACAAGAAGAAGGGCCGCTACGGAAGACGTCAACACAGCCAATCACGCAGGCGACTGAACAGTCATTTGTGCAGACAACAAAACATCCAATTAAACAGACAACTAAACAGTCAATTTTAGAGACGACAGCACGGCTCACGATCAGTCCAGAGACGGGTAAATCACCAACTGCGCAGCCAATTCCAAAGACGACTGCACAGACAATTCCAAAGACGACTGCACAGACAATTCCAAAGACGCACTGGCACAGACAATCCAACCAGCCGACTGCGCACAGCCCAATATAAAACGCGAGACGCACAACCAAATTCCCAAAGACGACGTGACACAGACAATCTAATAGACTGCACAGACAAATCTCGCAAATACAACTGCACAGACACTTCCAAAGACGACATGCTCAGCCCAATTGACAAAACGCACTACAACAACCAATTCCAAGACGCAGTGCGACAGCCAATCAAAGACGATTGGCCACAGACAATTCCAAAGACAACTGCACAGACAATTGAAAAGACGACTGCACAGCCAATTGCAAAAACGACTGCTCATACAATTGCAAAGACGAGTGCACAGACAAATCCAAAGGCGACTACACAGCCAATTCCAAAGACGACTGCACAGACCATCCCAAAGACGACTGAATCAGCGACAATTCCCAAGATAGCTGCACAGACAGTTTCCAAGACGACTGCACAGACACTTCCAAAGACGATATTGGACAACTATATTCCAAGACGAGCTGCTGAGAACGAATTCCCGCAAGACGGGACCTGCACAGACAATTCCGCAGCAGCGACTGCACGACATTCCAACGACCGATCTGCACAGACAATTAACCAAAGACGGGGACTGCACAGACACGGATTGTACGACAGCACAAACAGCAAAGTGAGCATACACAACAGAGGGCCTGGCAAACACCATGTATGCAGACAACTGAACAACTAAATTATAGCAGACAAGTGAACAGCCAAGTTTAGAAACAACAAAGATCGGTTTAAGTGCACAGACAACTAAATCTAGAAATTGGTCTAGAGACCGGAAAGGGCGCCTACCGGAAGACGTCAACGCAGCCAGTGGTCGAGCAAACGACTGAACAGGTCATTAGGCAAGGACGACAGAACAGCCAATTTTAAAAACTACAAGACGGATCATTCCAGAAACGGAAAATTTATCCGCATTTAACAACGCCGGCAACAAATCTGCTTGTACACGATGAGTGAAACCACGGAATTCCTAATGCGCGAAAGAACAACCGAAGCCTGTGTAAGGATAACAGACAGAGCAAAATATCAACAAGCTACAGAGCGGGCAGCCACTTCTAAAACGAACAAAACAGTCAATTCTAAATTTTATTTCATTACCAATTTTAAAAAACAATAAACATCATAGTACAGCGACCGACTAAAAACCGATTGTGCAAGACGATTAAAGAGACAGTTATTCGAGACGAACACTGAAGCGGCCAGATATTGCGACGGCGAACTGAACAGCCAATTATTGCAGCATCTGAACCGCCATTATGATACAGTCTGAACGCGCCCATTATTGAATCATATCTGAACCGCTAATTTACTTGGTGGACGACTCACAGTCAATTATACAGACGACTGAGGCAGACGACTGAAGAAGAAAACTCGCAGACAACTAAACTACCCGATTGATGCAGTCACCAGTGACAGATACCCTTATTGATAACAACCGAAGAGCCAACACGACCGACGAACAGGCCAATTATTGAGAACAACTGAACAGATAAATTCTCCATACAATGTGATGTAACAATGACTAAGACAACTGACGCAGTTAAATAACAACAGACTCACACTAGTCAAGTAATACAGAGTGGTTGAACAGCCAATGCACAGACGACTGAACAGAGGAAATTCACAAAAAGCCTCGAAATAACAAATTACCGGGGACAACTGAAAAGCCAATTATACCGACGACTAAACAGCCATTATACGCAACGACTGACAATGCCAATTATACCGACGACTGAACACCAATTATACGCGGACGACTGAACATAACAATTATGACGTACCGCCCGGACTGAACAGCCAATCATACAAACGACTGAAACAGCCAAGTATACCCGGAGCGACTGAAGCATACAATTACCTACCGGACCGACTGAACAGCTAATTATACCCGACAACTCTGAACATTCAATTACATCAAACGACTGAACAGGCAATTACACAGACGAGTGAACAGTCCATTCCAACAACGACTAACAGCCAATTACACAGACGAGTAAACAACCAATCCCAACAACGACTAAACAAGCAACTACACAGACCCCGAAGTTGGAAAAAACCCAGCTCCCCCCCCCCAGTTTCTATCTACGACTAAACAGCCAATTATGCAGACGACAGAACAGGCAATTCTAAGACAGCAGAATCAATAACTTTACACACGATCGTGCAACCGATTAAAAACATAACTGTATCTCCCTTCGATGCACAAGCTGTTCGTTTTGGAGAATTACATTCAAGACCACATTATGGACCGCTTCTGGCATCAGCCGAGAACCTTGAGTACCCGCAGTCCGACCCGATCGGCTCCCAAGATTGGATCGGTAAGTCCAATCAGGACATATAAATGCGCCGAGAAAGGGCGAGGAGACGTGTATCGAAATAGCTTTCCACGCAGAGTATTAAACTAGCTAATGTTAGATGAGATGCTGTTAAACTCATTTAAAATACTTATTTACGAAATCTTTTTTTTCTCAGCTTTAGGCAATAACAAATTGTTAGGTTTATGACGCAATAATGGTTATAAATTTTTTTAATATGAGATAAATTACGAGATTTCTCTCTCTCTCTCTATATATATATCAAGAGTAGATAATAACACATGTTAATTATGTTATGTTATTAATTTATGTTAATTACACAATGTTATTATCTACTCGTGACTATATATATACTATATATGATAATATAGTAGTATCAGAATATATATCAGAAGTAGATAATTAGGGATTTCCACTATTATCTAGCTTCTGGAATTATATATATATATATATAATATACTAATATATAGAGTGGTAATGCACCCGTTTATGAGTATATTGTGTGTGTGTGGTGTGTGTGTGTGTGTGTGTGTGTTTGGTCGTGCTTGCGTGCGTGCGTGGTGTGTGTGTGTGTTTGTTGTTGTGTTTAAGCAGCGTGTGTGGTGTGTGGTGTGTGAAAGTGTGTGTGGTGTGTGTGTGTGTGCTGTGGTGGTGTGTAGGTGTGTGTGTGTGTGTGATGTGGTGAGGTTCAGTGCTTGTAAGGTCTCGAGGCCAAGACCGGCTCATAGAACCGTTTTCCCTTGGTCTCGGTCTCGGGTCTTGCCTCGGGAGTGCAAATGGAACATCGGACTCGACTTCGGACTCGGGGGGGGAGGTGCGGACTCGACTACAACACTGCAGCCTAAAATACAGGTGTATAAATCGACAAGAATGATGACTCGCAGAAAGTCGTCATTTCCTAAGTCGGACACATATAGACTAGGTCTCAAAAAGGCTCGCTTATGCGGTTTACTGTACTGTTCTATTTCATGCAAAGAAGTGACAGATTCCAGGGGGCAGGAGAACACCCCCCCCATGTTTTGAAACAAACACATACTTATAAGCAAGTGCCTTGTTGGTCTGTGCGACCTTTTATTAATGCAAAAACTAGGACTCGGAACTCCGGACGTCGGAGTGAGTGGTGGACTCGGACTCGACTCTGGACGGCTACGGGCTGGGCGCGACTCGAAGACTACGGACTCGGACTCGGGGAGGGGGGCAGAGGGCGGGCGGGGGGTGCGAGAACTCCGACTGCGGCCACGCCCGCCTCCGAGGGGTGCGGCTCGCCACACGTGGTGGGTGTGCTGTGTGGGTGGTTGTCGGTGTGGTCTTTGTTATGTTTGGGTTGTGTTGTTTGTTTGTGTTACGAGGCGTAGGTATGCGACTCTGCGCGGTGGAGGGGGTTCATGAGTAGGCGCAATACAGGGATAAAATATTATTACAGCAATAATGTGTTTAGTTACTAGGCTACACCCCAAGGTTGAAGTGCAGGTCCTTCATAAGAATAACGGGCAGTCAACAGCAACAGACTGTTAGGGGGCGTCAATCAGTGGAGCGGTATGTGATATTATCAAAATGTATTTATATAGATAGTCAATTTATTGCAATATTGTAGCATCATAGTTTCAGCGTCGAGTTTTAGCAGAGAAATGGGTCCGTCACAGGTGTTTCGCCATATTGGTGGTGTCAGACGGAGTTAAAATAATCGGCGGATTGGTTGCGCTGTCAATTTCTGTTGCAATTTCAGCGACGCGATCATTGTCGCCCGAATCCATGTGAGCACGGAACATTGTAGACACCGATAGTGACAGGCTAACACATTGTTATTGGCTCCGTGGGGATATTATTGGCAACCTAGATGCAATCTAGGTAAAATTCAATCATTACCGTAATTACGTTTAGGAATTGCGGCTCTAAAGACTCACAGCCAACCACACAACCCTGGGAGTAGATTTTAAAAAATCGAATGACTTATAGCGTATTAGTGGCATCACGTGATAAATGTTGAAATCTATCCGATAACGTCGCAGACACTGATGAGCAATAGGTGGGCCACCCGCCCGCGCCTGAGCGAGGCACTATTGCTGCGCACGGCATTGTTATTATAACGCATTGTGTTTACGTCAGGCGAAATCTCCTGGGCGTGCTGGGCGCACGCAAGAGTTTCGAATTAATGGCGATGTGTTTGTGTCGACGCGTTTTGTTACATCGAATGCACTGCAATTAAGGATATAATAGAAGGATATAAGCATGAAAAAGTAGAATTGCATAGTCCATGTTGATCACTATAAAAACATTATGCCGTGTTGGGCGCACTATGCTGTCATAGTGTTGCTTTGGGAAGGAAAGTGCCCTCCGCCGCCCGTAGCCGGCGTGCGGGCACTATACCTTCCCTCAGCAACACTATGAGAGCATAGTGCCCCAACAACAGGCATTAATATATAAGTAGTACAGTATTTACCGTTGACACACCGAACTTTTAATGCGCTTTGATGCGCATTGATGCGCTTCAACGCGGTTATGTACACACCAGATACGGTTGTAATGCGCATCAATGCACATTATTTTCAATCAACATACGTATGTGGATTGAGCAGTTCGTTTACGGTTCGATTCGGTTCGGTTCGGCGGTGTGTCAACGATAATTTTACAACACGGTTCTGTTCGGATTGGGATTGGATGATGAAATCACGTGGTGTTCTCGTAAATATCCTGTGATTGGAT